AAAAAAAAGGTGGAGGATTTATGTTGCGCTAGGCAAACAACCTCGAAAACCTATGGATTGTTGTTTAATTTCTAGAAAAAGGAAAGGTTTTGCTGAGGAAGACGTGTTCTGTTGTTGAAGATGGCCGTGCTGCCCACCGCGCTAGCTCCAAGCTCCTCGACGTGACGAGTTTAAGTTTTCTAGAGTGTCCGGTTGTAGTATCAAATCAAACGGCCCTATGGTTGTAGTCCTCTAAACATTCTATGTAAAAAAAGAGTAAACATGTTTAAAGTTATAAAATATAAAACGTGCGATACAGGAATGAACAGTAGCATGCAAGTGAAACAGGAGTAGGCAGAAAACAGAAGCAGTACTACATGCTATACATGAAAGACAGTAGCAGGTAGAAACAGGACAAGTGTAACATGCTGTACATGAAAGACAGTAGCAGGTAGAAACATGACAAGTGTAACATGCTATACAGGGAGAACAGTAGCAAGTGGAAACAAGAGTAATATGACATGCTTTACAGGAAGAACGGTAGTAAATAGAAACATGAAAATTATAACATGCTATACAGGAAGAGCAACAGCAGGTAGAAACGGGAAAATATGCTATACAGGAAGAACGGTAACAGGTAGAAACGGGAGTAATATGACATGCTTTACAGGAAGAATAACAGCAGGTAGAAACAGGAAAATTAAGTGCTATAAAATATAAAGCAAACCTGTACGCCCGTGAGATCCGATGTTCCTTAAACATAGCAAACCTAAATGTATCTAAAAAAAAAATAAAGTCTGAAAGAAAACGTCATCCAGGAAATCCGAGGAAAAGCGAAAAAAAACTCGAGAGACTCGACGAAAAAGACTCAAGTAAAATAAAATCCTCAAAACTCCTGGGGAAATCACGAAAGAAAAGAAAAGTAACACGAGTGTCTCGTCCCAAAACTTCGATAAAACAAAAAGAAAATCCGGATGAGGGGGACCGCAAGCACTCGTATGAGACTAGGCTCAGCTATATTTATTCTCGAGGGATCACGAAGGCTACTCGGTCACCCGAATGTATAGAACCCGTTACTCGTCTAGAAGTATGTCTTGAACCTCACTTAGGGGGCTATTTCCTAGCCTAAACAGGTATTCGTCAGGTGGACAACCAATTTTAAAATGTATTTTTAAAATTTATGTTTTTGACATACACATAACTTCTTAGGCATGCAAAGAAGAGTTATCCATTTTGTTTCGTGGAGAAATATATTTTGTTTGAAAATAATTTATCAAAACTTATCTTGGTATTATAGGACTGCCAACAACCTGAGGATGTTCGATGAAATATATTTTGTTTGAAAATATATTTTTTTTTATTTTGGTTGTCCACGAGTCGATTACGCTACCAAACATAGGACTGCCAACAACCTGAGGAGGTTCGAGCCGACTACCGCTAGACTTATGTCGGTGAAGGATACCATATCCTATTGTTCATCAAATGCCTGGATCTTGATGTTATAGGAAGAAAACACTGTCAATATTTCCAAATTTGTATTAAGTCCGAAATTCTTCCAACTTGATCCATAACTTCATATATTAAATAAGCATACTAAATAAGCATAGAAATCTTTCTACCATACCACATAAATGCTTACGACCAGGGTCAATAGAGAGGAGGAAACAGCCCACAAGGCTCTTGGCCAAGGCAAGGAACAGGGACAAAAGATGCTCACAATTAAAGTAGGGGACAACTGCCAAGACCCACAATCAAAGGCAATCCAAAGCACGAGCAAGGCTCACAATCGAGGCAAACCCAAATCAATTCTCTATGAGTTTTGATATACATAGGAGAGTACAAAACATCACTGATCTTTCAAAGTAACGAGTTCGATCCATCCATAATCATGCAGGTGACTTAAACTCAACAGGAGGGGGGGAGTTAAGCTCAAGAAACTCCAATTGGCCTCACGGGTAGTAATAGGAACCAAAGCTAGCAAACCACATCCAAACAACCTCTCAGGTAGGGGTAAGGCAAAGCAAACCGAGCTCTCAAGCCAAGCCAAACCAAGCCTAGCAAGGCCAAACGAAACAACACAGCTTCCCCCCCTTCTGGAACCAAGCCAAGCCCAACCCGCAAACAAACCCCAAGCCAGCCCAACCCGAA